TACATGCAAAACAAATGAGAACGAATATATGCTTATTCTCTAAATCGCTATGCATGAAAATAAGTCGAAACCAGCGACTTTAGCGCCCGACGAGACCTTAGACGACGTTATACGTTATGAAGTCAAAGAAATAGGGACACATGTGTATGTTTTTCTTTAAAGGTCTTCGATTTTTTTAAATGTAATTTGTTTATATTTCTATATGCATTGAAAATAGTATAAACTGCGTTCTATCATCTTTAAAGTGTCAGCTATTTCATGCACTTCATGCATTTCAATCTTCCAAATAATTTTGTAGACCTTTTTTATGTTTTCTAGAACGACTGGCGAATCCGGAGAGTGCATTTAAAATTAGCAAACCGTCCACAAATTTATTTTTTCGACAGACAGGAGTCGCCACAATATCTTCCCAGCCAGCGCTGATTGTGAATGTATTTTTTCCTCATCAGAAAGAAATTCAGGTTTTTCCGTTGGTTTTGAATATTACAAGAGTAGCGTCGCGGAAACAACAGTAATCTATAAACCCGTGACGAAATATCATGAGATTTAGATATGCATCATTCGATGGTCGGGCCTCTCTTTTATTTGATACCCACATCGATGGTATCATCACGAAAAATTAATCGCCGTATATATCATATTCATTTTAAAAGTAACGCATTTTTAGGGATATAATATATCTTCCTTTCAGGAGTGTACAAAATAGTTTTAGACATCCTACCTTAAGTAAGCATAAAACCTCAAAAAGGTGAAAAAAATAAATTTTAATTACGCGCAACTTTGTGTAGCCATCGCCGATCGATTCCATTTATGGATCTAAAGAGTAGAGCGTTTTGTGAAGCAAAAATGGAAAATTTCAGTCTTCTATCTTTAATAATTTCCGAGTAACACGCAAAAATTCGGAAATTTTTGCTAAAAAAAACCGTGAGTTGCGTTCAGTTTTCGGTCCACTGCGCACTACTGCTCCGACCATTTCGATCCATTTTCAATACCATCCTGCAGGCAAAAATTTCCAATATTTCTACAAAATTTGAAACAATATCTTCATTTTAGCGACCAGGGGAGTGCTAGTGACAGATACCATACAAACACACAGACGGACAGACATGGCTAACTCAACTCAAAATTTCACGCTGATCAAGAATGTACATACTTTATAGGGGCTCTGAATCTTCCATTTGGGTATTACTTACATTATGGAAGAAAACAAAATGGGTAAACATCCATCTTATAGTGGAGGGTATAAAAAAGAAAACGTCTAAGGACACAAAACTTTATATACGTTAATGTCAATAGTTTCTAACCTTCGATATTTGACTTCACACTTTCCTTTTGTTCAACCGTCCAAACTTCTATTAACATATACTAACTATGCATCGGCTAAAGATTATATGCAAGCATTGTTTTGCTTATTCTGACATAATCGAACAATAATTTAAACTACGTCATATAAAGGTTGCGTTATTCTTGGCTAGTGCGATAATTTCTTTCTTAATTTAAACTCAATTGAACAAATTGCTCACTTTCAATATTTATTTCCATTTTAGTTCGCCTTCTTAATGTCACATATAAGACTGCATTAAATATGTTTTGCTTTATTCTCTACAGCACGATAAACGACATTCATTGCTTTGTTTCGCTTAAACGTAACAAGGCAATAAACAAGAAAGAGATTATATTTTGGCTTAAGGCGCATATTTCGGTACCAACTATCGTTTATTGTTTACGTATACTTTGAAGATAGAGACAAACGATACACTAATTTTCTCATTTAGTTTGCGTAAAGGATAAATCCTTCTAAGCGAAGTACTACTTTGCGACAGTTTGCCAGGGACAAAGACATCATCTGCTCCACTTAATACCTCTTTAAGTGAAATTCAAAATATGAAGCTAAAAAAATAAACACTCATACTTACTTTTATGGAATTACTTAATTTTTCTACTATAATAGAAAATGTTTTTTATTTACTTCTTGAATTTTTTGGATTCAGCGGCGTGCTACCGAGCGGAGGGGAGGGAGAGGGAGAGGGGGGCGAACGAAAACAGGCAAAGATGTGTCTTCTATTAAATACAGTCCTTCTTTAGCAATACAATTTTTCAACTTTAATTGATTCGAAAAATTTGTTGTTCTTTTTGTAAAGTAATAACTGCACGCTTTTTTGCTTAGTTGTAGCCTACATTTATTGGTATTAAGCTGCTCGATTCGAAGGCATTTTAAGGTAAGGTTCAACTTGATTAAGCCAAGATTAAGTTAAAAATACTTTGCCATTAGCTGCGCATAACGGTACATTTGGATTTGTACGGCATACAATTCAATGAATTTACTACACGACATAAAGATAACTCATCCCCGTTATCCTCTTGGATATTTCTGATAACACAAACAAGAATTTTTTCTTGATAAAAAGCAATCTAGCCACCAAAAAAGAACGTAAGAGTAATTCGACCTTAGGACTCAATGTGCTGCACTCTATCGCATTACCCTTCTGAGTAGTGAGAGTTTTCCATACTGAACATTAGCGGGCACTAAGATTTATAAAGTGTGAATAAAACGTTCACAAAATATTTAATGCGCCGATAGAAAGCGTTAAAACTACTTTGCAGATAAAATAAGCGTTTTTATATCAAACGGCGACAGGAAGTCATTATACACATATCTGTACGCATAGCTTGTATAAATCACTAGAACCTTCGAGCGGAAAGCTCTTTCAGATTTCGGATGTACGCATATAATAATACTGTTAACAACCACTTCAGGGACGACTTATTTCATACTTTTTTCATACCTCTAAATGTACGCCATAAATAGCTTCATCAAACAAATATATTAGTTGTTGAGGAATTTTTTAGTGAATAATTTGCTATCAAAAATGCTGGACTATTTATAGGTATGTAAATATGAAACCGGAATTTGACCATAGATGGCCTTTTTTAAAAAGTTCAACGTTTTCGGTTTTTCTGAGCTACCTGTAACACGAAAATGAATAATTCCACGGTATCCGAATATCACAGTCTTTCCATAACTTAGCTGTATAACGAATGCTCGATTTAATCGGTTTATTATTTAAAACTGGCACGAATTGCTAAGAACTTGCAAAACCTGTCCTCTCACTTTAATTATTCACATCGATATTCACCAGCAGACGTGCAAGCTGGGTTATCGGGCAACAATCAGCAGTTGTAAGCATATCAGCATATTCACCAAACTCGGGTTCCTACGATTACCACTTGTTTCCATCCATGCTGAGCAGCGCTTCACTTGTTAAGAAAATGGCTCCTTGACCGATTTTCCTCAAAAAATAACAGTGTTTTTGGCGTGGCATCCACAAATTACTTTAAATTAAAATACTTTGAAAAAAATAGTTTTTATCATTTTCTTGTGAAACGCATGTGTTTTCTGTATAAAAATTCTGGTTTCACTTCTGCACACCAGATAAGTGATAAACGAAGGTAACTGTCAAAGTTCTTGAGAGTCATTTCAAGAAGCGGATTTTTTTTTAAATTCATTTGCATATTTATCCAATAAACTAGCCGCTGTTGTTGTGAAAAAAGAAAACTATCCAGCATGTAATGTAAATATTAGCCGCCACAAGAGGTCTTCCCAAGTAATTGCAACGAATAGAAATATGCGCACGAGACCTTGTAAAATATTCATATTATCAATCATTGTGAATACGAAAATCTATTTATTTTTGGCTGCCGTTAGCTTGTCTGTAGAAATTTGAATATTGCGGAGGAGAATAAATTTAGTTTCAAATTCCATCGAAGAATTTCCGATAGATTAGCTATGAAAATCACCATAAACGGACCAAACCACAATTGCTAAAAGGAAAAAATTATCTCTTCTTTTATTAGTGAATATGTAGTTATAACTTAACATATTACAATAAGTACAACAATTTTAATAGCCAAAGAATAGCATATCTGTAGAGAGCAAATCGAAATTAATATTATAATACAAAGTGTCTGTGTTCAGTCTTCCAACATTTCTCCTAGAAACGGAAACATTCTTTTATGATTTGCGTCTCATTAATACGATATTAAGCGTAAGACACTAACTGCACTTCAAATGTTTTGCAGAAGTAAGACTTTTCTCTAAAGTGTGACCTAGTACGTAAGAAATTGGTCCGTAATGGTAATCTGACAGAGACATTGACCTTACCACAATTTGGGCCACGAAGATCTACGTTTTAGATCTAATCGTTTGTACATGGGAAAAAGAGAAAAATTGCTATTAGGCGAAGTGGTTTAGCGTACTTAAGCGCCAGGTTTGCTCAACTGTAAAGTTTTTACATGCTTTTATTTTGAAATGAAAGAAACCCTAGCTTCTGTTGCAATGAAGCCAAGTTAGAAATGTTCTTTCTATAAAAGCTTTATGGTGTCTTTGGCCGATCCATATAGAACTCGACAGAGAAACCGTTAAATTCTTCGTGCGATGTTCGAAGATTGTAAATAAAATACACCTACTATTAAATAATGCTTTAAAATATTGTACGTACGATATATAAGATTTGCGATGTAAATAAGTTTGTTGTAAATATTAATGATTTGTTCCTTTGCTCATCATCAGTTTTGTCCCTTCTGACAGCTCTTTTCATAAACTTGTATAGACACGTTTATGAAAAGAGCATTTTAATACATTTGGTATCTATTGACAATGCTTCTGTAGCGCTATGCTCGTTACACTGCAAATATTTTAATGGAAAATATTCATTTGATTGATATTTATGATGTCTCAACCCGAGGGTTGATTTATTTATCGCGCAAATCCGCTTACATCAGCATTTGCATACACACTAAGAAAGCGTTTACTTGTTTTTTTTTTTCATTTTCACTGTCCGTTAGTTTTTCTTTAAGCGATCAACACCTTTGAATGTCGAGCAATTGGAGTAAAATACACGAAATAAAGTGCTAACCTAAACAAACAATGACACCATAATGAGAATGTTCTTTAACTTATGGGGATGAAATTAAAGCGCATTTAAAAATTCTTCAATCTTGCTCTTGCTCTTGCTGTTTCATTCTTGATATTCTTTGCATATTCTGTACTTCTTATATTTTTACCGTTAATGTACTGATTATTCTCATTAAAGATTTATTAATGCATACTGTGTCTGTGTGTGTGTGTGTGTGTGTGTGTGTGTGTGTATGTGTGTTTTTTTTTTGATTCTCTTTCAATATTTAACTTTACTGTAATTGTTTATTGTAATAATATTTATGTTTACTTTATTATTACCTCTTGACTGTATGTGTCATGTGTAGACAATACTGCTCCGTATGGTCATCGTTCGTTAGTAGTAGAAGAAGGGAAACTATTAAATTTAAGTTGTGCAGCCACCGGCAATCCTGCGCCACGTGTAGAATGGCGTCGTGATGATGGCCGCACCATTAATGTAAATGGAGTTGAAAGTAAGTAAAAGCAACACAAAAAGTCTTAAAAATGCAAATAATTACTATGTACACAACTACTTACAACCTGTGAGCCTGCGTGCAAACAAAAACAACATTAAATATCATTATCAAAGTTACTCGTTGTAATTATTTCTTTTGTGTTTCTTTTTTTATTTAACGATTTTTCTTCCTCTTTTTTTCTCCCCTTAAACACAGTGTCTTCCATAAGCGGTGAATATTTAAAATTTACGAATATAACCCGCCATCAGATGGCCGCCTATACATGTTATGCCAATAATGGTGTAGCGCCTGTGGCGAATGCAACATTTTTGCTGGAAGTTCATTGTAAGTGTTTTCGTTTTTTTTTTTTTTTTTAATTTTTGCATAATATATGAGCGAGAGAATGTTATTGTGTTGGCTGGTAGGAAATGTGGTTAAATTTTTTATATATATTTTCTTTGCACTCAAAAACATACACACACAAATACATACATATACAAACCATACTACAAATGCAGTTTCACCCATGATATCGGTCTACAGACAAATGATTTATGCTGAGTATGGTCGTACGGCTACGCTGGAGTGTTTAGTGGAAGCTTTCCCTGAAGCCATTAAGTACTGGGAACGTGCTTATGATGGAAAAATTTTAGATCCTAGCGATAAATATCGTATTGAAACATATCCCGATGGGTAAGTGCAGCAACATAAGTGTATAGAAAAAATTTCAATTTTTAAAAAATTTCTTAAAATATTTTACAATTCCAAGCTTAATCAATCATACGTTTACTTACGTTATAGCTTTAAAACCACAATGCGCTTAACTATAAATAATTTACGTAAAGATGATTTCGGTTATTATCATTGTGTAGCTCGAAATGAATTAAATGCAACTATGGTCAATTTTGAAGTGGCACGTAAGTGAAGAATCAATAATAAATGATTGCTATCTTTTTTCCGTATTTAACCTTAGAACAATTCAAAGAAGAGATAGATAGAGAGAGAGAGAGAGAGAGGAAGAACATAGTAGGGTAAAAAGCATGTTTCTAAGCAAAAAAAATAAATAAATAAATGGCTTAAGTCTCTTTATAGGAGTGAGTGTTAAATGTTTGCTCGCCTTCTTTCTATTGTCATGACATATAATCTGATTCCTTTTGGCGCTCCAGTTTGTGAAATTTCAAAATGAACCGGCCAAAAAATTAAAGAGCGTTGCGTGTTATTGAAGTGCAGACATTTTTAGGGGTCTTAGATAGGTTGGGCGTGCCTAAGTTTTCCTAAGCAATAAGACAGAGTGACAAAGGGTGCTCGTCACTCTCGGTTCCTTTTAGAAGAGATTCGGAGTTCCTTAATAAACCGCGAAATCAAGTATCTAATCAATAACTCCATACGCCTAAAGCAAATAAATATGACGAGTGGCCATACCCCAAAAGAAGCAGAAAAAAAAACTAGAACTGAGCTTACATATTTCGTAGTTTAATTCGGTTACAAACAAAATGTCCTAAAACCGGACCGCATTTTATGGAACGCCACAATCGAGAAAAATCGGTGAAAAGTTATCCTTTAGTATATCAACTAAATGCCGAAATTTGCGGAGTGGGCCATTTCCTGAACCAGCTCCTATATAAATTTTGTTGGCAAAAACGTAGTCTTCAGCCTAATTTTGGTTCAAGTGAAACTGTTTTTCGTACTTTGTCTCACGTAAGATATCACATAAACTAAATGATATCTTATATCGAAGACTCCTTCAGAATTTTATCAAGCAACATTGCGTAGAGTATTAAATAATCGACTTAATCTAAATGAAATATTTCAACTTGCTTTTGCTGAAGGAAACAAGTTTTATAATACTCAAGCAATTGCTATTGTGTTCGTCCGACAATTCATGCGTAGAATTGGTAAATACTTCGACTATTGGTTAGTACTACATCAGGAAATGGCAATGTGAATATACTCCATTAGGTAGAAGAACGCTATTGAGCAGATACTGAAAAATGAAATGAAATAGCGTAAGGTTTTCCCCCGTAGCAACAATCTACACTTCTCTTTTCAACTTTGACTTGAAAAGAACATACTTGCAATCGCATACACAACTATTTTCCCACTCACATTTTTGGGCATGTGGATTATTCGAAGCACTTCACATGTTCACGTGTTCATGTTTATTGGGACTTTTAATAAACATTTACATTTATCGTTATTTTCTTTTTATAGCAGCTTTACAGGGAAGTAGAAAAAGTTCTTTTCGCCCTAGGAAGAATCTTTTATAACCGCCAATTACAAACACACAAATAAACATGTGACAGTTTATGTTTAAATCGAATCATAATCTGACGCTGCTGAAAAGCGCAATGTAATCTATAAGATGTTTGATGGGATAGTATTAGAAAAATCAAATTTAATATTTCCCATCCTTCGATATAATAGTTAAGTCTAGTTTTAAATCAGACAAAGTGGCACATACCTATTAATTATGAGTGTTTGTAAAAAAGTTATCCTTTCTCACTACATTTGTAATTATGTAATTCTTCAACCTATTATGGAGGATTTTACGCCTTCTTCAAAATGCCATACGTCGAAGGCATGCAATTCCGTGCTGTACCACAAACTGACCGCGGAGTTATCTAGTTATCTACTATTTTCAATTTGACACAAACCTGAGTGCGGGATCAAAACGACATTGGCAGTTTGGTCTATCTATGACAGTATTGTTTAAAGTAGCAAAATATTTCATAAAAGAATTGTAAAAATTGTGTGAGCTAGAACTAGAATTGTAAATTGTAGGTGGAAACATATCTTTATATATTTAACGGCCAAAGAGTTCGTATTAAAATATCATAGTGCTTACCACAATATGCATCTAATACAACGTTGCTTCATTTGAATCGCTGTTAACTGCAATATGCAAAGGGATGGCAGAGTTTTTTTTCTATCTATTAACTGCAGTAGTTCCCTTTTCCACATCTCCTGTACCTTACGGCGGCTATTTGATGTATTGTCCACTCGACATAGTGATGACAGATCAATCAATTGGTCAATTCTGTTATCTTATTAACTACAATCAAACTCTTCTTAAAATATCACCCACACAGCTGATTAACGACAAAGTTGCCTAATTACCGATAGTTGAACTTAATTCATGAATTCTTGTTTCTTATTAGCTGCACTATGAGCTTTCTTTCTTTATTTCCTGCAACCCGACGTCCTAGTTCTTTACCTACTGGTAATCACATCTAATTGATCAACTCGGGAATTTCATTAAACGCAATCGGAATCCTTTTTATACTCCCCGTCTACTGCACTACATTGACGATTAGAGCTATCTTTTTACCTGTAAAGATTGGTTTAGAATGTCAAATGAAATGAAGACGGTCGCAGAAGGTGCTCTGCCAAAGTTTATCGTATCTCGATAAATTCGATTATGACAGTTTCAAGAAAAGATGCTAAATGAATAGAAGCAAAAACTTATGGACATGTGTATAAATTGACAGAATTGCCTAAGAGAGTTCGGATGCGTATAAAACGATCCAGTTCTTACTTAAAGAACCTTCGATGTACATTTACAGAAGTGGAGAGTTTGGGTAAAACGATTATGGACTTATAAATGCGCTTATAAATCGACAGCTTCCAAGGTTGGCATGCAGAATAAAAAGGGCTAGTTTCAAGCAGACAAAATGTTATTCTTGTCCTCTTTCGTATAATTCTTTCCTTTATACAGAAATTTATTTAGCTATTATTCCTTCCTGCCATGGCTTTTCTTATATCCTTTTTTAGAAATGTGGAAACTTTTTTAAAATATTTTCATTTTATCTGTTTATTCCCTACATCCCTTATGGTACAAAGATATATTAAGTTTGTGCAAATGCGAAACATCCCGAAGGACTTGAGACATGCGTCTAAATTTTTTAAGCTGAATTTTCTAAGCTCTAAGCGATCTAAGCTTGTCTGTCCGTCTCTTTTTCTGGCGTTTAATCTACAGGACTTGATATACTGACGTGTTTTAGCCTAAGAACGTCCGTTAATGCAAATGGTACGGATCGCATCGCTTTTTTCGGCACTTCTCATATAACGCACTGTTTTTAAAAACTGAATGAAGCAAAGCGATATAGTCTATTTAATGGTGGGCATTGCCCCACTATAGTGTTTTGACTTTCTCTCTTATGTAAATTTGTTTGATTAAAATAACCGTTTGAACCATTATTCCATAGCGCAAGATCCGAACAGCGAAACTCCTTACGTAGGTAAAGAAATAAAAATTTACGGAAAACGACCTCCTGAGAGTGGCTGCCCCGTATGTGAAATATGCCCTGATCCGAGGTAAGAATTAGTAATAAATTAGATAATTTAATTTTTTTAGTATGTTCGGCTTTTATCCTTGATGTAAATGATTGTTTATACGAACATGTTCGTTATTTGCTTATGTTTAACACATTGTCCTCTGTTACGTAAAGTCCTTTTTTGTCCTCTTTATTGCATATTGTTTTGCAAACAAATTTAATTAATTGAGTCTTTGAGAAATCTGTGAGAGGATATTTTTTTATTTCCTCCTTTTTGCTTTCTTCTTTTACTCCTTACTGCAGCTTGTTGCAATGCAAGGATTCGATTAATTCCAATTTTGAAATTCAACCGACTGGAAATTATAGTTATCCTGGTCTACCGAAACGGAAAAAGAGTAAGTTATTCGCTGTAAACATCTTTTATTGGGAATATATGTGTACGCATGTTTGTGTGTGTGTAGCGTGTGTATAAAGTTATTTAAGAGTATTCGCAAGAAACTTTTAATTGAATTGCCTTTGCAATGTATACATAATAGCAGCACTTGAATGCGGATGTGCAAGTTGTTGTGAGTGAGTGAGGGATGATGGAGCGTATTTTTCCTTTACACTCTTTTTCTTTGTTAATTCATTTTCTTTTTTTTTTTTTTTTCTTCTAATTAAGTTCTGCTGATGAGAGGCTTCAAAATCTACACTTGTATCATTTTCTTTACATTTTTTTTCATTTCTTTTGTTTAAAGTTGTTATTGGAAAAAGAGTTTACGAGGCGAAGCACGTAAATTTTGGTTGTTATGACATAACTGGCTTCGCAAACCCAAAAAGGCTTCCTGTTTTCGTTTGCGGTCTTTGCCACATATATCTTATGTTACTCATTTTTCCGCGTTCTTTTTCATACGCTTTAGAATTGGCTGCAGATCGATGCAATTCAGTAGATATTCGGGATTGGAATCTCTGTTGAATAAACCATTCCAAACTAGATCATGAGGTACATAAGTTTCGCAGAGGACTTTTTATTTCTTTTTTTAGTATGAACAATCATTCAGGCGTTGTCTTCTATTCGATTAACCCCTTTACGATCAGAAAGAAATGTGGAAAGAGAATGAGATAGGGAGGTCGTGGCAACAGCCTAGTGGATACATGGCTAAACGGGAACTGTTATGACTTTACTGGCTAATCCATCACTATAGCTACGAACAAAGAAAAACTCTACCGCACTAAGGTTTGACCATTGACGCAGCAGTCACAGTCTTACCCACCCAGTGGATATTTAACATGCGGATGTTTAACATTCTTTGAGTGTTTCCAGCAGTATTCAGTATTTTCATTCTCATAGAATAACATGTATTTTACTGCAAGTGACTGGCGACAGCGAGCATCGTCACAAACGTCGAAACATCCTGACTAAAAGCCTTCAATATATGTCTGACACAGTGACATCATAAGAGTTTATTAAGATGCAATGCAATGTTTGTGCGGTTGTGCAACTATAGAGTGATTGATTGAAAAGCATTTATTAATATCTAACCAATGAAATCTTTATGGTACCTTACGTCTAATTATAAGGTGTTTTCTTATTGAAATCACACGCATTGTTTTTTGTTCCATTGTGCTTGCAGGGTGTTCAGTCGTTGCTTCCAAGTTCAGTTATCACCCTTTTAGATACCATAGCAACGCTCTTAGCAAAACCCTTCTTAGAGGCCCTAACGACTTTTGTGCTTGTACGCCACTAATCACCCGCCTGTTACAAGTCATATCATATTAGTGAGCCAGAGCAAGAAGCCTAATTCCAAGAATTAAGTAAAAATGTGAGTTCTTTTTTTTTGTCAAATTCGACTCTGTTTATTACCTTACTCAAGAACGAGATAATCCATCTAAAGCTTCTCTAACGTAGGGGTAACAATTTTACGAAATAATTCATCAGAACTTTTAAAATACGCTTCAGTTTTCTCACCGTTTGTACCTAACCATTTTTCCTGCAGCGTCTTTTTAAGCCTGAGACGATTAAGAACAGATGATACTCGCTTGGATCGCAGATCTGGGTGTTAGAGCAACAATTTGAACTTCAATTGTTGCAATTTCGCCATTATGTCCATCGACTTGTAATCCAATGTTTTCGTCCTGCTCTGAGTAAACGCGACACGTACTGGAAAGACAACTGTCTCTTGACTAGATGCAATCTGCGCGTTGGGATGTTCAATATTTCTTGCAAATTTCATTTTTCGATTATTGTGAATAATTTTTAGAATTGATTTGACGCCTTCTGACGTAAACATGGTTTTTGGTCATGCATTAATGTCCGTGCGACATTGTTCAAACGCACCAAATCATCTGCACAAAAGATTCGGATTCTTCCACTGCATTGTAAATAATACAAGCGTTGTCACTAAACCACTGCATTTGTTAAACACATGATCGAAATGACCTCAAACTGCGAAAGCGATCATTAGAAAATTGGCATTTTTTTAAAATCATAGATATATATATATATATTTTTTTTGGAAATGGGAAGAAGGGGAGGAGGAGGAGAGGTGACCTCCGTACATCAGTCCCGAGAACCATACGCTGATGTGTTACATATGTCCATAAGTATATCGTTTTACTTTTCATTCTATTTCAATAAGGCTGTCTATTGTATGCGGTGGGTAAGCCGGTATTTCACAAATTTGTCGATGAAAATTACGGATCATGGTTAAAAGATGCCGCTGCAACCGAATTAGAGCGTGAGAAAACTTTTGTTACCAACGAAAAGGATAATCACAATTTGTACGAGTTTACCTCAAAAATCCAATATCGTATGAATGATGTTCCCCGCAAAAAATATGAAATAACTGAAGGTTTTCAGGTACGTAGTCATTGTTGTATTATCTTGTAAATAAACTGCGACTTTCATATTTACGTACATATGTGTTTTAACTGCAGGGTAATGCTCATGTAGTGTACAATGGATCATTCTATTATAATCAGCACAACACTGACCTCGTGGTGAAATTGGATTTGATTACAATGAAAAAAATTAGTAAGTAATTCAATCTGTCATAATGCAAGCCCACCCTGACAACAAACGGGCACAGCATTTGCTGTTTGACTGTTTATGTCGGTCGGTACGGGCATTGCAAGTAATACCGGGAAACAAAGAAAAAAATATACAATCTAAGCAATTTTGTTTAACAATACTTATGCACAGACGCACGTTTCTAGGCATATATATATGCATATGTATTTATACATATATATATATACATATATGTACACATATGCGTACGTCTGGTGTGTATTTAAGAGTGCGAGTACAATTGTTACAATAACAAAGCATGTTGTTTGGTCTGTTTGACTTTAATTATAGCCACTCAGTTGCCGTATGCAGGCATAGCAACTGGTAATAAATTGTACTCGACAGATTACAATTACATGGACTTTAATGTGGATGAGGTCGGTTTGTGGGTAATTTACAGCACTTACGATTCGAATAATACTCTGGTGGCTAAGGTAAGTGAACAAATGTTACGTAAAAATGAACGCTCTTTCATTTCATCCCGTAAGATAGTGAACGAAATGAAATGCAATGAAATGTAAGCAAGCAAGCAGTCAGGCAAACAGCCATTCATTCAGCCAGCGTAAATAATGATCGTTCTCTTCATTATTTCTTTATACTGCATAATTATTTTCTTTATGATGATTTTCGAATGCTTAGTGAATGAAAGCGTGATTTTTCTTTTCGTTTTTTTTCAATAGTCATTTTGTTTTTTACATTTCCACATTTTAATATGATTTACAGTTGGACGCAGAAAATCTTCGCATTCAATATAATTTCAATGTAACACTGGACCATCGAAAATTTGGTGAAATGTTCATTGTTTGCGGTCACTTGTACGCAATCGATTCCTGCATGGATAAGAATACTCAAATACGTTACGCTGTCGACTTGTACAATGGCAAACTTTTGAATATCGATTTGCCATTCACTAATCCCTTCCGCAAAACGACCACCGTCGGTTACAATCCATACACGGTGGTAAGTATTTCTATGTTGCACAGAGAGATTCTATTGTGTGAATTTAAACCATAATGACTATGTATTTGTGTTTTCATAATCCGTGTACGCGTACATATGCTCTTTAAAGAAAAAAATTGATAATCAAAAGCATTTGCGTTAAACATTACTCTTCTTCTTTCTATGCTATGAATATTCTGTGCAGTTAACAGAGAAGAAAAAAAAAGAAAACCAGCCATGTATTGTGCTCCAACGAACAATAGTTAACTGATATTGTGTTTTGACATGATATATATTCAATTTAACTGCTGTTCGGCTCTATATCCAGTTATCGCATTACATAAAGCAAGAGTTTAAAAAAACTCTCGTTTTTTTAAATATACGACATCAGGTTAATTATAAATGCCATAGCTTTAACTAGATTGAGATAGCAGCCCACAAAATGCAACCTACTACTGCATAGTATGACTCATTCCATAATATGGCAAATAGTCATGTTTACTCATTATTTTGGAAAACATTTCAAAAATTCAATAAATTTAGAAAAACTAATGCTCTTCTCAAAGACTTTACAATACTTTCGCATGCGTCATTTTTGTAAACGTTAGTTTTTATGCCAAATTTCATCAAAAAAGATTAGAGATTAGATTGGTTTATTTTTGATAGGAACTGATAGGATTGTAAGAGGTACATTTAAAAAATTAGTCCATGCGATCCAAGCTTTGCACATCAAATATTTATTGTCTCGAAAAACTTCACTTATGCTTAATACTTATTTAGCAATCTTTATCCAGAAATATTGAAAATTTCCAATTTTTTTACGTAATAACCTTTTTGGTAAAAAGGCCCGATATAGCGGGAATAGTTGCAAAAATATTTCGCGCGAAGCTGCTTTTTAATGGGATTCGTTGTTGGCTTAAAATACGTCAGTGTATCCAATTTTGTCAAAATATCTCACAATATTTGGGACGAATAGAATGAGCAAAAAAAAAAAAACAAAAACGCGCGGACATCGGGTAGAAAAACAGGCAAGTTAACCCGCTTCGAAAAATGATTTCAAATCAATAGGTGTAACAAAAAGTGCATCTGTCTGAAATCCTTCTGGCCGTTACATGCATTCGCAAAAACTTAATATACCCTGCAACATAAGTGATGCAGCACCCACAAATTATAAAAAGAAGAGGAAAAGATGCTTGCAATGTATTTATGTGATTATATGGAAAATAAGCAAAAGTTTGTATGTACGCATTTTATTAAAGTACGGATCAATTTCATTAAATTACACCGTAAAATATTCTTAAAAAATTGAACGATAATAGAAAGCCATTGCAGTTAGACGATTCTTTACTCAAACAATTTCTTAGATTTCCGAAGCCACTTCTATCCTTTTTTTAACAAAATTAAAATTTATTAAAAACATCTTTATTAGAATCCTTAATAACCGAAGTTATTAGCTAAGGTCTTGTGCCACCTATCGGTTAGCTTACGGATGCCTCAGATCTAAACCTGTTTTCGCTGCTAAATATGACTGCATCGATCTGAACAAATGGTATTTAAAGACAGACAAGTCTAGAGAATAATCCGCATGCTGTAGAAGTTCGCAGTCTAAGCTAAAGATCACTTCGTGGATTGGCTTTGATTATAACGGACGGACGGATGCGAATTTCATTGTTTCCAAGACGTAAATTTCGTGTTCGACATCGAGCAAGTTTTACACAGTTTACTACATTTTCACTGCTGGCCAAAATAGTCCAGTGAAAAACAGAAAAACATACAGTGGCTTAAATGCTGCCAGCTGCTGTCCATCTCTTTACAGTTTGATATACACTGAGCAACGGTTTGTACATAAATGAAACTAATGCCACACAAGCACTAATTATATAAGAATGGGATACAATGGGTGATTTTATAAAGCAATTTTCATAAAAAGAAGTTTTTTCTATACTATACTTTTTAAATCGCTAATAGTTTACATAACAACTATTTGATTTCATTAAGCCAGTCATCAGTCCCAAAAATCTCAGATATATTGCGTGTGTAAAATCTGATTAAGTTATTTTCGCAATAAGTGAATGAAAAAGCGCATTGAGAAAACAGGAGCCTGTCAACGGATTTCATTATCGAGCTCTGATACGATACGAAAAAAACCAAATGATACGATCACCTTTTGAGTTGATGGTACTCGATCGCCTTTACATCGACTTGGGCTTCTCATTCGTTATATGTATAAAGTTATATTTGTGACATTGTAAATAAATTTGGTGAACAAAAATAAAATCTATTGAACGAAAATACCAAATAGACTTTAATAAGCAAATTATTGCTTAATTAAATTATCTGAGTATTTTTCTTCTTCGTAGCGAAAACGATATTTATAATTAACATACTAAAGTTGTCTGTTTATGCACTGCCCAACCAGACCCCATATATTATATTTAAATAGTTTCTAGTAATCCAATTAGAGGTTTGCAAAACCTTCGATCATTGTTTCAGTTGAAAAACGCATTATAGAGAAAATGTTTTTGCTTAATATGTTTTATACCAATTTCCCTCAATGAATATTTGACTAAAGTTAAAATATGATAAAAATACATGCAAGCGTCTGATACTTCATATTTCTCTTCAACATGAAGTTCAATAGCTATTTTGCGTTCCTAGGAAAATATGACATTTTATTTTGAATCCAGAGCAAACACTCATACGCTATCGAGTACCATCAAGTTAACGAATGCTCGTTAACGAGAGCAATCAACTCAAATTACAAATGCGTTATCGAGTTTGCTCGATACGAGACGAGAATCGTAAACCAGCTTCGGGATAGGGGTTTTTGTTTTGATATAGAGAAATATATATTTTTTGTGCACATATCCACATTTACATATTTCAATGCCTCTCGAAGGCATCTTTGATATATTTTTTTTATAATATATTAATCATTATATTAAAACAATATTTTTAATTAATAACTTGTCTTTAATTTGCTGCACTTTTTTAAAACCTTTCTTTTTACATTTAATTTTTTGTTTAAACGTAACTTAATAATTACGTTTTAGCAAAATCGATATTAGAAAGTCTTATTGCGGTTGCTATTCCGGAATTGATATAGCACTTACTGTACCAAAACCTGACCTGACCATTAGTTTGGTTATTCTAAGTTTCAATATATGCAAGAAAAGTTCACTTTCTTTAAAAAAGTTCTCCTCATATTATCATTTTAGTTTGCTTCATTTCATTAACTAATTATTTCGACAATTTCAAGCATGGTGTAAAAGTCTGATCAAATTTGTACATGTAACCAACGAGGGAGTTTTTCGAGATCAATGATCAGTTAATTGGTGCAGTGTTAACAAATTAATTGCTTCTTAGTAATGAACAGATAGATATAGAAGAAGATATAGAAGTGAAAATAAGGGAGGAAAAGTGGGTATAAAAATAATCAAACCTAACTGATATCTTGAAATATCATGGCAAGCCTCCTGCAAGACAGCATTCGATTTTTGCTCTGCGTATTTATAAGATCGCCAATTTGACGGCATACGTTCGATATGGATTAAATACCTATTTATCGTATGATGAATCGCCTGTCAGAACTAGATCGGAAGCATTGAGCCCAAATAAAAGCAATTTTTGACATTTTCAATATGTAATTGCTGTCTGATGTCAGCCTATTGGCTTTAATTGATTGATTTCTCTTCTCTAAGGAAGCATTGGCCTTTCCTAGTAAAAAATTCTTGTTAAGGTTTGTTTATCAGTAGAATTTACTCGATAATTTTGTTGCAATGCAATCAAATGAACTTATGTTTGTCGTTCTGCTTCTTGTCACTGTTGTCTTATTCATTTCAATCAATGTGGGAACACCTGTGCATTATTAAATAACTTTAATAATATCGTTAGTAGACAAACTAAATAGAATCAAAGCCACATTTTATAGAAGTCATTGGTGTATCCTCTGCTACGCTTTTGCGCATTAACAACTCTTTACGGGTACATTTCCAACTCAAACAACAGTAGTTTCATATGCGTTGCCAGGCTCTATGCGTCTACCCTGCAGGAATCTGTGTTTGTTTTTCTTCTTGTTTTTACTTTTCGCTCATTTCTTCATTTATTCTTATTTTAACTTTCAATTGAGCGTTTTATTATCTGTTCCACTCAAGGATAGGTATATTCTTTTTGTAAAAGATTGGAAGTACTTACTTTTGAAGTACTTAGTCATTCCTTAAATCAGCATCAAATGGTGAATCGATCTAATCATGTCGTCTCTTTATCAGTCCCAGAGTATTATAAACCTATAGGGAAGTTAGCTGTTTGGTAATTTTTTGCATGCGACGGAAGATTGGTTTACGATGGAGGACGACTATCGCAAATACAAATGCCATTTGGGACATTAGGGCAAGTTCTTATCGTGTAAACGCGGAAAGATTCCCATTAGGAGTAAACTATAATCGGAAAAATAAGCAAGTAAAAGCACAGCTCATCATTAAACATACTGCACTACCTCACAGACGTTCATATAACGACTATTCAAAATGTGGAGAGAAGTGGGCGAAAAAGTGGTCCGATCCGAATCATTTCCAAAAGATTTCGTCCCTGGGCCAAAATGCACGCTGTTCGTTGAACACAAAAAAATAAACGGACATACGGACAGCCAAGCTCAGAATCATTTCCTAAATCGACTAGTATAATAAAAAGTGGATCTATCGCAAGTACTTCTGGGCGTTGTGTACATCCGCACAAACTTAATATACCCACTAAAGGATATAGAATGCGTACAGTATGAAAGCAATACAAATTTCATAAGTTAAAATTAACCATAAACCTCTTACCATATTATGGATATATATACATTCATTTACTCGTAGTAGTTATATTAGAATTATTTTGCTTTTTGTCTTGTTTTTAAATAAGGAATATTATTTGTGTAGACCCACTACCAGCCACTTGACGCATCTTGTGTAATACTTCAACGGTGTCGTGAAAATTTGCATTGAATATTTTAAAAATAACTGTGCAAAAGTATGGCATGTTCAATATGTTAAATAAAGATAAACTATTCTTAAAAATATTTATTTTATTTGTTTATTTATTTATTTATTACAAATAAACATTTTAGTATATATATATATAGATACATACAGACAGTATAGATTTTGCGAAACTCTTAAGCTTAAAGACTTAAATTGAATCATCATTGCTATTACTCAAAATCGCAAAACTTAACTTAAAATGCAAATACGTGAACTTAGTAACCTATGTAAACAAGTACATAATAACTTTGAATGAACATGAACAAAAGGAATACGAAATGAATCACATGTTCATAGTTTGAATAGTTTTCTGTTAAATATTGAAAACGAATGCCAAATTCTGTAAATGTATCAAGTTTGAAAGGCGTTCGATAGTTTTTCACACCAACTCTCTGTTAAACATAAAAAGTCTAGAGGATAAAATTGCAGAACTTAAAAATTAGAAGCAATGCGCAATAAGAACGTTCTGAAACGGTATGGACGAAGATTTATTAAGAGATTTAGCCATGTATTATTCTTATTTTGAGTCTATCTTGAATTATAAATGTATGAGCGACGTAATCTGTTCACATTTGGGTTATTGCGCGCTTACAAGCTATTTGCAGTACAATCTTCAACAAACTTCTTCTGCCGCAATCATTCACGCAACTAAAGATAGAGGGAAAACATTCTAAATTTATAATATGTAAAACTAAGTTTATTACCACTCACCCATAAAAGGACAATTTTTGTCGTTAGCGCGGAACTTACTTTCCACATACCATAAAATTTTTCTCACGGTTCTCCACAACAACTTGAGACACCGTGGTAGACGTGTTGACAGTTGTTTTAAATGGCTGGAATTCCCTGCAGGCCTGCGCCTTTGTTTAATTTAACTCAAAACTTAAAAAGTTCCAGAATAATAATAAATAAAGCCCCGCTTACGCATATCCATTATGTAAAAGATACCTTAACATAATTACGAAAATATAATATAGATTTAAAATATATAAACGCGTGTAATATGAACTTAGTAATAAGGTGTTCAAAACAGACGCAAGTCTAAATAACTCTATTTAACATATAGCTATGTAGTAAGGCATGCCTTGAGCCTTATCTTATTGCCTAGGCTGGTGCATACGATATAAGTATTACCACTATTGTTATTAAATTAGCCAGAGAAACAAAATCTAAGACTAAAATCTTAAAGCACTAGCAATTAAAACTATCGATTTTATTAAAAACTCTACCATACTTGAGAAAATAATATTTTTGAATTATGGCAAATATCTTCATATTCCTACAGAAAATTTTGCTGAAATTTATTTGCAGCATTTGACAAGCATAGAAGTAAGAAATCTACACTGCGAACTGATATAAGCGATAAAATGAAAACAAATTGCATCCGTTATTTCATGTTTGCTTGTTTATTTTTCGCTCATATGTACATCATATCGCACATGTGCGATGTGCTTAAAAAAGGTAAAATTTGTATAAAGTTGTGATATTATGCAGTGTGATGTCGTATCGAGAAGCCTTAACAGAACTTTTGCACTTGCAAGTAATTAGAATGAAAGAGCAAGCATTCAAATTGCTGCTAACGTAACAATGCTGTCTCTGTCATCGGAAATCCCTAAATTTTAACAATTATTTTGGGAATTCTTAATATTTGTTAGGTCGAAATATAAATATCTTCCGCCTTTTTTAGTTTCCCGACCTCCCATATTACCTTCAGGTGGCAACAAACCATTGATTATGATACTTTCTACTTTCCTGCTCGCACTCTTGTCTACAGTTGTCTTTAAACGATTGTCGTGAAGACTCTTAGGACTTTAAAAGTCGGTTCGTTTCTAAAGGTCGTATCTTTAAAGTGGAATTTGGCAAAACAATTTCTAAATGCCTGATCGTTTATTAAACCTTCATCGTATCGTCACATACGTATATTTTTTCAGCTGTCGCCCTAACGCTATATTCTTAGAATGAGGAATACGAACTATTTCACTTCGCTTTAACCAGTTAACCATACATAGCGTCCATCCGTGTTTGTCGGATTTCCTCATAAAATTTTACCACAATGAACGTATACTGAACGTATACATGAAAAAATACTTTGGTCATTTTGTGAAGCCGTGTCATTATAACCAAATTTTATATAACTTACCCCATATTTGACGGATATACGAGTGTGTCGCTAAATAGGTCGACACAGTAAAATGGTTAAGGATTGTGAACGCCACTAACTAAATCATTGTAAAGGGAAGAAAGTGAAAACAAAACCTCATTTGTCCCGCCTACTTTTAGCAGGCGGATAGGATATAGAATCTATCGAAAATAGTTTACTAGTCAGTCTATAGTAGTATCCTCTGATCTCAACGATATGTTCATATAAATGTTAAACAAAATCTGATCATCTGGTAATTCATCCGTTAATTTTTCTGTAGCTGCCTGAACTGAACTGATCATTGCTCCGAATCGTCGAGCAAGCTCTGAATCTGTAAGATTACGTTGTGACGAAAAGACTTAGATTATAATATAGCAATAGGTTACAAAAAAGCACAATTTTACTCATCTGCATTGTAAATATATGAGCTTGCACAAATCCTTGCGTTCAAGGATAAACAAACTTTTTTTGTACAATATCACAATCCGACTGAGTGGCCGAGCAGTCGAAATATCTTGACAAACAACTCAATTGTTGTTGGCTCAAATCTGAAAGACTTTAGTCTTGGAATTTACTTCTCTGGGTAAATTGTAATAATAATAATAAGAACAATTTGGGAAAAAGTGTTAAGAGATATTCGATCTTTTTTTTTTAAGTTTTTCTTTTATCCAAAGTAAATTTTTTATTTATTTATATTAGTACTCACTATCTTTTGCAATTTCTCGGGAAGTTTCCCCATGACATTGATGTAGAACTTCGTGCCAGTGAGGCCGAATATAATAATCGAGGGGTGAAACGTTTTTTGATGTTCATCTATCATACACGACAAATAACACGGTATGAAACAATCGAAATAAGGCTCGAACTGGCAGTGAACTGAATTTGTAGTGTTCATAAACTCATTTTCTTTAAGTGAAGTTATGCTTTAATCATTGTAAGCTTTGTTTAATAAAAAGAGGCATTTGTTGGCACATGAATAGGTAGGCGTGCCGTCATGTTCTCGTTAAGAACTTGGGAAAGCAGGTTTATTAAGAAGAAGAGCCCATCTATGGGCGTCTGCGGGCACTACAATGTTCGTATATGTAGCGCTTTTACTAGGTACAAGGACAAGGTAACTATGTTATTTAAAGTTAACTAACGTTATTTAAAGTTTTATCGACGTAGAATGACGCGCTTTGAAAAGAAGTTGTCGTATGTTCTAAGTCACAATAAATTATTATGTCTTTGAAAGATCACAATCAATTCGTAGCAAACACGACAAGGATCGCAAACAACCGTAATGTGTTACGGCGTTTGATTATGGATGAAGACAGTGAATGGAAGCATGTTGGTTTTTTTTTCCAATAGTTTATATAAAAATCTAATTATTTCTTCTTTGTTATGCATTTTTATCGCCATTAAATTTAATGTTTATTGTCTAGAAATTTTTGATAAAGTCGATACAAGACATTTAAATTGGTTGCAAACCATTATTTCTATCTACCTTTGTGTTATGGATTAATTCAGTTACTGTGCTTGTGTATTTCGTTTCGTTTTCGAATTGAACAGGAACTTTACTCCTGGGATAAGGGTAATGCACTTACATATCCGATACGGTATCATGAACAAAGCATAGGGAGTGACCATGCATAAATTATTGTGAAAAAACCCAGAATGCATGTGCGGCGGAAAAAATGAAAGAAACACATCAACTGTTATAGCCCATGCGTTTAGGAAGAGCGTATATGCATAAATTGCACGGTAGATACGAGAGTTATAAGGAACTAAAACTAAAAACTTAAGTAAGAAAGTTATGTTCGCTTTAAAGCGAATCTTGGATACTCACCATCCTGAACTTTAAATAAATAAAAATTTAATTAATATTTTTTTATTTTTTTGATAAAAAATGCATGCAGTATTCATGTTATCATAAGGATATCGTCATCTTCGTCCCGTTTGCTATCGTGCTCAGTCCCGGTTAAATGGAAAATGGCGTGTTGTTTGACCATAATAAATTAAATGCGTCCGTCACTCTTCTATTGCAAAGAAAAAAAAGTAAATAAATGAAAATTGATTGTGAAGACAACAATTGAAACTATGTTCACACTAAGGTTTTTCTAAAAAGTTGATAGACGGTTCTTCAAACTTCATATCATAAATGATTTGAAATATTTCTGATTTCCTAGGCTGTATTTCAAAATTTCAACAAGTTTAAAAATCCCCAATGTTAACGCTTGAGAATTCCACTAACAAGTGGAAAATCAATAGGCGAACGAACGAATCAATAGGCAGAAACATTTAAAGTTGGGGTGAACCACAGAAATGGCACAAGAAGTTAAAAACAGATGTACTTACAAGGATACGTTAGTGTACTGAGAAGTAAATATGTCATTAGGTCCGTTTTTTAGTGAACAGGCGGCCTAAAGAGGTGACAGAATAAATTCAAGAAAACATTAATTGATTGGTAAAGTGACAAAGATACAGACTAACAAGATGGGTTAATTGGATCTGCAGTAGATGAAGTGACTAAACGGTCAGAGGATGGGCAGCCGAATGAATGTGTGGACAAAAAGTCTCACAGCCAGTCCACAGGATACACATATAATGGAGTAAGCGAACTTTCCAACATATGGGTTGATAAACAGACAGACGCATTGATGGTTACGACAAATGAATGAGAAAATCTGAGGCGGATGCAAGTGGAGTTGTCGACAAACGATTTAATAAGTAGGCCTTTAAGCAACTGAAAAGACTGGCGTGGGTAGGGGAGAAGGGGGGAAGGGGGGGCTAAATAACGCACAACAACCAAAAGCATTCGAATGAATGATCACGAAAACAACTTGAGTGAAATTGATCTACAATCGTCTGATCGGGAAGACGTTCTTTACAAAGTCATTGCGAAATATGTTTTCAAACCATTTACTATTTTTTTTTTAAATTTTCGGTGGTGATTATAAAAACTAAAACTCTTAAACTAAGGTATGTATAAATTAAATTGTAGTCTGAACAAGTTCTCTATTTTTTAGTTATATGTGGTTATTTTTTCTAAACAAACTGCAATATATGTAACAAATTTTTAGATACATTGTACTTAAGAAAGGAACAAAACTATCAAAATATTACAAAAACAAAGTCAAACGTTAGGAAAAATTTTGTAAAAAAAAAAAAAAAACATTAATTTTAAACAAAAGAATCTTATTTTTAGTAATTAGATGTATGCATTGATGCTCATACACTCACTTATATATACATATAAGCATATATATATATATAAATTGAATATGGAAATGAAAAACAAAAATACATATTAAAAAGTTTTTAGATGCAGAACATATTCACAGGTTAAGAAAATCTGATAATCAAAAATAGGATAAACCAAAAAAATAAAACAAAAAAATGAATATAAACCCAAATTCTCGGAATTAACTTAAACTTTTTATTGAGTTTACGCCAACCAATTGATAAAATTTTCTATAATTAATTACAAACAAATTTCTTTGGTTACACATAAACCGACATATACAGATACAAACCAGTCACTACCTTAAAACATTTAGTTTATTAAATTCAAAAAAAATTATAAAAAAAAAAAAAATAAAAACGAAAAAATATTTACGCAATTAAAACTTAAAAATAGTGTTATTGTATGTGTGAATTTATAAATTTTTTATAATTAGTTTAAATATACTTTTTTTTGTTATCTTTTAGAAACATTTTTTCGTCATTTCTTTCATTTTCTAAAGTTTGTTAAATAAACTCAAAACTATAATTGTCTTATAAGAAAACGTAATATTTGATGCACAAATCATTAAGGAAGTGAGCGCGTAAGTAAACATTATGATTGCTGTCACTTAATCAAGAGAGCGTAAAGAAATATTGCTTGTAATAAGGAAAAATTTATTATCCTTAACTCTCCAGGCTTGCAGAGCACATGTGCATTTATTACCTTAATTTTCTGTTATTCAGGTATTTCTAGTTTTCTTTTAGTTTTTAATTTGACCAATCAGTGCGTCGATGTCCCCTGTATGTAGCGATCCTGCCATCCTGCCATATATCGCGCACTTAAGTGTGGAAGGCAGTAAGATGAGCAAATTAGAAATCGTTGTTCATTCTTCGAGGAGACAAATGCCAGCCGGCATCTCTGACTTCTACTGCCGGTGTTTTGAAAAGAAGAAACGCTCATTGAATATTTGATTGAAAGTTTTGACAAAATGTTTGCCTGTCCCATCCTAAAGGAAGACCGCCAGATGGTGAATGTGATTTTCAATAGCAATCAGGTTGGGAACGATGAAATTTCTCATTTATAACTTTTTCTTTCGACATCATCGATTGTTGCCTTCATTGTACTTTGCTTTGGTAGAACAAGAAACTCGAAAGCATTCTTGGCATTCCTGATTCCTATTCGTTGTGAGCCAGTAATTTTAGACGTCTTGATTACGTTTATCGGGATTTCACCTTTTAAAACATATTTAAGGATATGAGAAGAACGGTGCACGCATGTTTGATGATAGTTTTTGCTTTTAATAAGGACTTCCGATCTAAAATACAATATAAGAGGGAGGTGTGATTTACGTTTACTTCATACTATGAAAGATAAGCTCAAGTGCATATTTCGAGATGCCCAGTACACGCAACCCCTTTTTACACGATTTTGAACTGATACAGATTATTAATGAGAGCAAATACATTGAATTTTTCACATGAAAAAACTCAAAAAAAATTTTTTTTTATTTATAATTTTGAGGGTACTTTATAAAATTTGACGTATTCAGCAACAAAGTACAATTGAGAGAATGCTGTGAGCAAATATCGCTCAGTTTATGCTACTTGACCATTAATAGTGAACGATATTTTATACTTGAGACAAACCTGACAGTTGTCCTACACATACTCGATATGTCTACTGATGATAGCATTTTTGACCTAGCTTCTAGCAAATTTCAGCGCTAATTATGAAGAAGCGATGAATCGTTGGAAAACTGATTTTTATTCCTAATTTTAATTTCAATTTTTGTGTTATGTAAGTATTTATGGACTGAAGTTCCACTGTGCACTAATTTTAATTTGTGTCTTATATGATTTCGTTATTACTCTTTCTACACGTTTTTTTGAAAGGCTATGTAGAGTTCCTCATATTAGCCGAATGTTTAAAGTTGTGGAACATATCACCAGGTATTTTTCTATACGAATTTTTTTGCACGGATTTACAAGGAACATCATTAGGCGTCAGTGCTTGAATCATGAAATGGTCTAGGCAACTGTCCCCTGTCTTCAACGGAATTACGTTTGAAATTTAATTTATACTAAAGTAAGTAATAATTTGCGACATGGAGCTCATCTCGATAAAACTCATTTGTAAAATATGTTACCTTGAAAAATATTAATATCTTCTAACTATGTTTATCTTAAGTTTATATATGTTTTATATGGTTAGCACTTGTGACTGCGCTTTGTGTTTTTGTTTTCCCTTTACTGGCTAATTCTATGAAACACGCCTCTTCTTTCACTATAAAAGGACTCATTATTTTACCGTATACCAACTTAGAAAGAGAAAATAAAGCCCGGCGTGTATTTATCGTAAAGGCGAAATAAAAGGCACGTGTAGTCAGACCACGCTGTGTAGCGAGGATGGATAGTTTTTTTGCGTCAACGGGCCAATTTCCTAATTTTCATATCAGAGGCTAGAAAAAGGCCCAACTATTATTGAAAATATTACACGTTCACATTTGGTATCTGCAAGCTGAGTCGGTGGCGGTGCAGCATTGCTATGTGCATAGGGGACCAGACTCGACGAAATCACAGGCCGGATCCGCCTATTGCCCATGTCTGCTGTAGAGTATATGAAGCGAAACCTCCTCCGAACTCTATCAATTTTTATGTTCTCTTTAAAGATTTGATTGGTCTAACACTGTCGCGATGAAAGGCGAAATCTTGTTTGTTAAACGATTCTGCTTGCTTTCTATGAATTATGCACTTTATTCACAGCAGTTGTCAAATGAAAATTCGGTCCATTCAATTTTTCTTCCTTGAATCATCTGGTACTCTAATATCAAACTCCATTTTGTATCCAACCATAAGCGAAAGGCCTTATGCTTTTTTTTCAGCAATGCTTACATGCATACCGAAATGTGTCGATCTTCCTTAATTTTTTAAAGAATTTCCACGACTTCGCGAACGATTGGTCGACCAGATTGCGGTACCATTTTATATTGAAATTTCTAGAGCAAAAGGGAACGAATGGGTTGCGTGCTAGTGATTTTCATTTTGCATAAAACATCGAATCCATTAAAATTTTGGCGTATTTTTGAAACGCAACTACTTGAGATTAAATTAACCCATGTTTCAATATATTTTTGCGGGGATGTCTATGAAGTACTTTTTGGTCGCACGCGCTATTGCGTGGCGGTCATATTCTTTGAACTAGTATCGTTACCTGAAGAGGCTGTCATGCCACTAATCGAACTTAAGCTTAACATACGTAGACTATTTCATTTCTATTGCCCCATCTATGGCTTCGATGTTAGTAATGATTATATCATCAGGCAGCTGTGCTTAATCCTATAAAAACAAAGTGAAAAATATAAATACGATCTTCACATTTCCGTAAAAAGTCCTGCGAAAACGTATAAAATTGCGATTTTAAATTTATATGCTGTGAAGTATATACGATACGATAACCGGAAATCCACACATGCGCTGTTTGATATATGCCATATGATATACGGTAGTCGCTATAGACCGTGCAAATTTTACACTTCGGAGCCTTGTAAAGCGTGATGGGGATGCTAAAGGAAATAAAAGCTGAGCTCAACCAAACTGCAAACAATGTAAATCTACATAAAAAACGTGAACACGGAAATATATTTTCTATATAACTTGTTATACTTTTCCTTAAAAATAATTTTCTGCAAATGGTCCTCCCCTTCGACCGAGTCCTGCAATCCTGTCGTACCAATTCTTGCCACTTTTCTCTTGCGTTTGTAGCTATTGTATGTCGACCAATGCGAGACAAATCAATCACAGCAGATCAGCCGTCATTGAACGTTTTGCATTATTAATGTGCCTGCGTTTTTGATGTATGCAATCCCCGGTAGGTTTTTAGCGAAATTTTAAATGATGTCGCAGTTAAAATATTGTTTGAAACACAAACGTAATGCAAACTCCATGTTCAACTAATATTGCAATGCCACAGAGCTCCCAAAGGTAATGTGTAAAAACAATGAAGAAAAAAAGAGAAAAAGAGCTTTATAACAGATTGTATTCAATTTTCGTGTTTCTCACACAGTGCACTGCCATTAACCTAAAGAAAACAAAATTGTAGCGACAATTCTTACGAGCGATTACATACACGTATTATATATCAAGGCGGCAAACAACATTTAAAGATATTTTTCTATTACACTTTCTCTTTAATTAAAAAAGTTTCATTTCAGTGGCTAATGACCGTTCTTATCATGCGTAGTTCTGCTGAAAGTGCGGCGGCGAAAGGACGAATGAAAATGATTCTCAGAGGGTTTTTTTGATGTCAATTTTGCACTATTGTGAGATGGTACAGCAGAAAGTGAAATAAATGGTACTCGAGCGGGATAATATCCGAGTTTTCCCATTCTTCTAGATGTATGAAAAGTTCTCAGTCCAGCTCTCTGAATCTGTTGTTCCAAAGCGCCGAAAAGGTTTTTGTCCTGAAGTTATAATGATAGAAGAGAGCGCCTTATCTATTGGCTACTCCTGACTCAGTCAATACAATCTGATTATTTGAGGACTTCCACAGGTTGCGAAATTCCACAAACTTCAACTTTATTTGGACCTTTACGAATTTGGATATAACCTAATACTTTGCGCTCTAATAATGTTAAAAAAGCCACTCTTACTAAAACAAAAACAATTACTAATAATCTTCTAACAGTAAACAAAATAATTTCAAATAAATACAATACTATTTGTGGTTACTCACATATATAAATTATAAATTTATTATATTTTTCTGCCAAAATAGTATTTAATACTATTCAAAATAACACAATTATTTATTTAACATTTGGTCCTTTCGTACTAAAATATTAAAATTTATTAAAGTTAGAAACCAACCTGGCTCATGCCGCTTTAAACTCAGATCATGTAAGATTTTAAAAGTCGAACAGATTTAAACTTCTAAATTATCATCTTAATCCAACATCGCGGTCGCAATCTTTTTTATCCAAAAAAATTACGCTGTCATCCCTAAAGTAACTTATTCTTATAATCGTTAATAAAGGATGAATAAATCATTAATTTATGTTATATTAAATTAAAAGTTAACTGAATTTCAATATCACCCCAATAAAATTATTAAACTATTATTAAAAAAAATTATCTATAAATTTATTATTATATTAAATTAATAATAAAGATTTATAGGGTCTTCTCGTCTTTTAATGTAATTT